GGGAAAATCGTCGAACTCACTTTTGTGATTGAATCATCAATTCAAGTCAAACATTAATCAAATAGGAACAATTTCACTCAAAGTATACCTAGACACAGGAGAACTATTGTCGTGAAAGTGTTGTACAATCGATTACAAATTTAGATTGCAGAGAGTTTGTTCTAAGCGCTAAAGGCACTCACGATAGAGCACATTTTGCTTTATTCAAACAAGGAACAACCGAAAACTTGATGCATTTCAAGGAATGATTCTTGAGACAGGCTGAAGTCCTGCAAGATCTATTTGGCGTTGCCTGGTTCCAAAATTTTGCAGTCAAGACGAAAGCGTATGCTGCTATTGCTAGCACCGATACTACTGCTAAAGACAAGTTCAAGGATGATATCTTTGAAGCCGTTCTTGCAACAGGATTCCTGTGCAACTATGATCAAACGAGAACAGCTCCTCTGATGCTGGATCTTCAGACAAACTACTGCAGGGAAGTGGATTATTATCCAAAGACGGTCAGCAAAGCACAAGACATGTTGAAGATTCACATGGATGTGATCAAGAATCCGGGAGTGAACCTTTACCAAGGAAAAGACCAGCCAAATAAAGGTAAAGGCAATGGTAAACCAAAGGACGATAAGCAAAAGGCAGCATGTTATGTATGTGGCAAAGAGGATCATATGTCTCCAAAATGCCCAGACAGACTGCTACCAGAGATTCAATGGAAGCATCCGAAACACTATGTTGATTACGGGAAGAAGCTCAATCTTAATCAGATTGGAGCAACTGTCCCAGCTAGAGTTCCTGGAACTTCTCCAGCAGCAAGTGTTATCACTGGTACAACATCGAGTGTTGCGGGAAGTGTTAACACACCTTTGCGACTTGCTGGTACTACAGGAGGTAATCAAATGATACAAGCTCCTACAGGTAATCAAATGATGCAAGTTCTGACAGAATTCTAACAGGAACGGGACTTGTGACTTGACCTATAGGATCCCCAGGTTGAAGTGTAGTATGTGCGTCGCACGCCTTGCATGTGCGCAAACTGTTACACGCCATTAATTTAGCGTAGAAAAGAACTGAGTCAGCAGTTCTCTAATGAATCATAGGATTCGCATGGAAAAGTGATGGATCATCGCTTTTCTCACTGCATGCTTTTTACTTGAATTAATATTGATCAACTTGTAGAAACTAGTCAACTATAGGCTTATAGTCTATATTCATTTATTTCTGTCAGATTAACAGTCGCAGTTACGCGTACAGCTAACTGTCGCGATTTCCCCATCAGAAATCGCCCAATTCGTCTCCTATCAGAAGACGAAAACACAACAACTTGCGGATCGGATTTCACAGCGTTTTCGCAAGTTACTGAGCTTCCCTCAAGCTCATATTCTCGCACTTGCGCACACAGCTGACTGCAACGATTTTCCTACAGAAATTCGCCGATCTTGTCTTCCATCAAAGACGAGGACAATCAACATTTCCGAATCCGTCTTCCCATCAAAAGCGGACAACACAACAACTTGCGGATCGATTTTCTCAGCGTCTCGCAAGTTCTTTGGGCTCCCATCAAGCCCATCCTCTAGGTGGCGGCACTGTTACCAGCCAACAAGGCTTCAGTGGTGCTCAAGTGCGCCAAGGATTCGATGCAACTCAAGCTCAAACTCCGCAGGTTGTGAAGACTGGCTATTATGATACGTCAAATGTCTTTCACGATGCTATCAAGGGAAAATATGAGAATGGCAATGATGTCTATCTCATTCCATGTCCTACTGGAACAACTAACGTCGAACTTCAATCCAACTGGCACTACGCTAGTAAAAATGAACACTTGCCTGATCTTGCTACTGAAGCAGATCGAGGTATGCAGTTTATTCAAAGCCGCAGAATCGAAAGAGATCCGTTTGGTTTGCTCGATCACGTCATCATGGACAGTGGTTGCACCAACACCACCAT